CTTTTGAATTATCACCAAAAGTCACTTCTCCTCCATTTTTGGCGTTAAGCTCTATGAACTGGCTTTTGTCCCCGGTCATGTGTCTTGAGTATCCACTATCAAGGTACCATGAATTTGAATTTGTTTCCCGTGCCTTGTAGCAATGCTCCTTTCCCTATAAACATAGATTAATTTCTAATTTTTGGTACCTAAATTCTTTTGGGTCCATATTCATTAGTTTCCAAAATCCTAGTCCCCTTAGGTATCCATTTGTGTAGGATATCCTTATCTTTAATAGTAATAAGCTCTTTAGGAACCCATATACTTCTAACGATTTTTCCATTAGAGGTTCTTCGGGGACCTCTTGATTGTAGTTTTTAAAACTTTTTCTAACAAAGTTGGATTTTGAATTTTCTCCATTTTCAAAACATTTTGTTCCCTCTTTATCAAAAGAAGTTTTAAGATCATCAATTTTCTTTTGATGATCATCATTGACTTTTGAAAGTAAATTTTTCAAATCCAAAATTTTCTTTTCAAACTCTTCTAGTTTGATTTGCAAATCTTTGATTTTACTTTCAAGATCGTTGTTGGTTTTGGAAATGAGTTTATTTTCATTTTTCAATTTTGAAACATCATTTTTATATTTTAAAAACAATTTCTCATAACCCGAAGCCAACCCATTATATTCTTATAATAGCTCATCATAAGATAAATCATCAAATTCAAATGAGTTAGAGGTTACCTTAAAATCTTCCCCGAATGCCATTAGGCACAAGTTTGCTACTTCTTGTTCCTCTTCATCGAAACCCTCTTCATCGCTCCATGTAGCCACATGAGCCTTGTGCTTATTTTTTGATTGACCATTTCTTTTCAATTATGGGCAATTATATTTGACATGCCCCGACTTTTTGCATTCATAGCAAATGATAGGGTCCTTCTCTTTTGGTTCATTTTTTAGGCCTTCATTTCGTTTGAATTTTCTTCCTCGGTAAGGTCTCATTATTTTTCTGAACCGTTTGGCAAACAATGCCATTTCCTCGTCATCGTCATCTTCATTCGAATCACTCTCATCTTTTATGGATTTGAGAGAAACTCTAATTTTTTCTTCTTCTCCTTCTCCTTTGGTGTCTCTTTAATCTTATCGAGGTTCACCTCATCTTCAAGCATCATTTCATGAGTGAGGAGGGAACTGATTAGCTCTTCAAGAGTTAAGGACTTTAGGTTCTTAGCCTCGATGATTGCAGTCTTCTTGGATTGCCATGATTTTGGAAGTGAGTAAACTAACTTCCTCACAAGTTTTTTGTTTGGAATGATCTCTCCATATGATTTGAGACCATTGACAATCGTTGAGAATCTATCCGTCATAGCTTTGATATCTTCATTTGGTTTCATCCTGAAATTTTCATAGCTATATGTTAGAAGACTAATTTTAGATTCTTTTACCTCGTCGGTGCCTTCATGAGTGACTTGTAGTTTATCCCATATTTCTTTGGCGGTTGTACAAGATGAAACTCTTCCATATTCATCTGGTCCAAGAGCACAAAATATGATATTGATTGCTTTGGAGTTGAGCTGGAACATTCTTGTCTCTCCTTCACTCCACAATCTTGGATGAGTGAGAGGCTTGATATATCCGTATTCTACAACATTCCATGCTCCCATGTCACTTGCTTGAATAAAATACATCATCTTATTCTTCTAATAGGCATAGTTAGCTCCATTGAAGAAGAGAGGCTTGTTGACGGGCATCGAATCGAGACCGGAGTCGACATTTGAAGTAGAGGCCATTGATGACTTAACAATCGATGTAACTCTTCCCGAATCGACTCAAGAGGCGATTAAACCTTCAAATGAGTGAGGCTTTGATACCAATTGTTGAGTTAATCGATCGATGAAATTAGCTAAGAGAGGTGAATTGGCAATTAAAAATTTCGGTGGAAGCTATGCAGAAAATTGAAAGTAATTGCGCAGCGATTTAGAGTGGTTCGACTTTCTCAACCAAAGTCTACGTCTACTACCTTAGCTATCCACACTAAAGATTTTCCAATAAATTCACTAATTTGTTCTTTCTTTTGAGGACAAAGAGTAACCTTACAACTCCCTCAAAAATTATACCCTAATTCTTGAGCACACTCTTTTTCAAAGAGAAATACAAATTTGCAAACTTACAAGGAAATCCTCACAAGGTAGATTGTTTGCACAATTATAGAGCAAAGAAAAGAACACTCAAAAATGAATACAATTGAGTACAAGTAGTGTTCTTGAAAGCAAAATGAATATTGAATGAAAAATAGGCTTGAAATGCTCAAACTTGAGGTTTGATGATTTCTCTTTGATTCTCTCTTGATTCTTGTTGATTGTTGTTTCTCGTTGTTGATCAATGGCTTCTAAGCTTGTTTAAATACACCTTCAAATGATTCTGAACGTTGGGGATGATTAGTGGAGACAATAGAGCCGTTTAAGTGTGAAAACAAATAATTAAAGCAGTTGGGAGCGTCAGTGCATCGATGCATACCCTAGGTGCATCGATGCATCAGTGTAAAATTCAAATATTTTGATCGTTGGACTCTCAGTGCATCGGTGCACTAAGAGTGCATCGATGCATAAAATGCATTCGATGTTTTGAAAAAGCATGAGTGCATCGATGCATGGTATGTGCATCGATGCATGGATTGGTGCATCGGTGCATCACTTTGAAAAATTGATTTCAGGCTTGATTTTGGTTCAAAATACTTTGTGAAAATTGTTTCAAAAATAGTTCAAGTATAAAACACAATTTTACACATTTAGTAAGGTTTGAATTTGAACTTGAAAGACTTTGAGTAATAATTTGATATTCGATTTAATTAAATCGAATATACTTAGAAAATCATTTGTAAAATCTTAAAATTCATTTAAACTTAATTTGTTATATCGAAACACAAAAATGTTTTCAACATACCTTCCACAGTTCAGGAGGCATTGCAATCGACTAATTGGAAGGAGGTAGTTCAAGCTGAGGTAGATGATCTTCAAAGAAACGACACGTGAAGGTTGGTGAAATTACCAGAAGGGCGTACTCCGATTGGGTGTAAGTGGTTGTTTAAACTGAAATGAAATCTAGATGGTTCCATACATCGTTATAAGGTGCGACTGGTTACAAAAGGCTACTCGCAAGTTCCAGGGTATGATTTCCTTGATACGTTCAACCCAGTTGTTAAGTTCTCTTCGATTAATGTTGTTTTGACACTAGCGGTATCAAATGACTGGTAGTTGAGGCATATTGACATTAATAATGCATTCTTCAATGGAGACCTCACTAAAGACGTGTTTATGCAACAGCCGCCAGGGTTTGTGCAAGTTGCTGAAGATGGATCTGTCCTCGTTTGCAAACTTAAAAAAACACTATATGAACTGCGCCAGACACCTAGGAACTGGCATGCTAAGCTCAGGGATAACCTTGTGCAGATTGGGTTTACAACATCTCGAGCAGATTCATCACTATTAGTCTGTAAACGAGGTGCTGGTGACATATATGTATTGGTCTATGTTGATGACATAGTCATCACTAGACACTCGTCTTGTGAGATTCAAGAAGTAGTGAGATTGCTTAGTGAAAGGTTTTCTCTCAAGGACCTTGGTGCACTACGTTTTTTTCTTAGGGATTGAAGTGCATTGCTCTCGTGGTTCTCTCTTTTTAAATCATAAAAAATTTGTGTTGGAATTGCTTGAGAAAACTAATATGACAGGTGCAGCTGCATGCTCCACACCAATGATACTGGCATCAAAATTGTCAAAAGATGTTGGGGAGCTGTTGTCAAACGCGAGTGAATATCACAGCATAGTTGGCTCCTTGCTCTATTTATGCCATACACGTCCTGATTTAGCATACAGTCTTGGAAAGGTGGCACAATTCATGCATGCACCACGAGAAACACATTGGCTTGCAATCAAGAGTATACTTCGATACTTAGTTAGAACTTTGAATTATGAGTTAATGTTTCGAGTGAATGAGGTAGAATTGTCTGTGTCAGCTTTTGCAGATGCAGATTGGGGAGCAAATATAGATGATTGACGGTCAATCTCTGGTTATGGTGTGTTCGTTGGAGAATGCCTTGTTGCGTGGAGTTCAAAGAAACGGAAAAGGGTGTCTCGATCCAAAATGGAGGTAGAATACAAGAGTCTTGCTGATGCAGGTGATGAAGTTACATGGACAAGTTCTTTGCTTGCGACCTAGGGATTCAACAACAGAGGGAGTCGGTGGTTTGGTCTGACAACACAAGAGCAGTGGCTATGAGTGCTAATCCCGTGTACCATGCACAGTCGAAGCATATAGATCTTGATATTCACTTCGTTCGAGAGAAGGTGGCTACTGGTCTGTTGAAAATTAACTACATACAAGCTATACATCAAATAGCATATGGTTTTACAAAGTCTCTCTCAAAATCTGCGTTTGAGGAGTTTCTTCACAGTATATGTGTGATGCCAGGGGTGTAGAGTTGCTTAAAAAAAGGGGAAAATGAGAAGAGTAGGGAGAATGTTAGGCTATAGCAAGGCTTACTGTGTACGTGCTTGCATTATAGTGTAACTAGCAATAGTTAGTTGTTATTGGGCGCCAAAACTTGTTTGTATGTTAGCAGAGTTTGTTAGCATAACAGATTAGCATTGTTTACTATAAAGGTGATGTACTAGTAAGTGTGAAATATGAATTCAATACATCCTTTTTCATACACAGTTTTTCAATACAATCCAAGCAAATTCAAAGAGAGAAAATTAAATTAATTGTGAATGAAGGTATTATATTATCGCTTATTTAACAATACCTATACAATGGTTAGAAACAGCTTATTTAACATTTAATAGAATAATAAAAAAATAAGTTAAAATTCGATGAACTTCAGGCTGAAGATTACACATTCTGATTCTAGGATATTTATTTATTTTATATTTTTTTGGTTTCTAAAAATTTAACCTTCAAAAACATTGTTGGCCGATACCCTAACCAAATCCAACCCATTTCTAGAACTACCGGTTCCTCACAAAGAAGCTGCTTCTCGGAGTTTTCAATACGGCACCGTTTAGTTTACTTTTGAGTCTTTAGATTTGAATTCAAAATCAGATCAAATTTCCCCCGCTGCTTAAGCCTGAAAGTTCAAGAACTGGGAATCCGGCTAGATCTTCTCTTTAAAGATAAGATGAACTCTATAACTTCCCCGGTAAGCTGTGCCATCGACGACAAAGATCTAGACGACGCCGCTTTATGGGCGGTAATCGACTCTGCCGCCGCCTCCCACTCCTCCTCCTCCAAGCACCGCAAACCCTTAACAATCAAATACCCCAATCATCAATCCCCGCCCACCCCCGTATCGGACCCTTCTCCTCACCGGAAACTCCCGCAAAAAACGACTCAGAGTCCTAGCAATCAAATTTGTTCCCCTCCTAACTCCAATCGCCGCCGCTTCGCTGACGCCGGGGAAGCCTATCACCGGCCTTACAAAATCAAGAGGTCTTGCGCTTCCGAAGTCAGCGAGACAAGCCCGATGGCTATAGTACAGAGGACACCTGTAACCTCATTGCGTGATCACCGGTCGTCGGAGATGTATTTGTCACCGGGTTTTGGAAGAGTTGACGTCGGTAATGGATCCGAGGTGTCGCCGAGGAGTTGTGGAAGGAGCGAGGAGAAGGAAGGGATGAGGCATAGCTTGTCCGGGGTGTTTCCTTCGGTTGAACTGTTTAAGGAGTATCAAAATGCAGCCATGGCGGTAATTAAATCTTCTTTTTATCAGAAACATAGCTTCGGCATTTTAAATACTTTTTAAAATTATACATAATAACAACAACGTCTCTTTACATGAACAGATTTTGGAGAAATCTGATTATACGATGATCTCTGGAAATCCTTTTATTAAAAAGTCAGGTAAATTAACTCTTGTTCTCTTCTTCACCTCTTTCATAATTGATATTTATGATGTGAAAAACTGTAGCCTGGCGTTCAAGTTTTGTAGGTTGGAGGAAAATATCGTTTTACTTCAATCTCTCATATGAAATCAAAGACAAGAACATTGAATTCGATGAAAATCGCAATGTTCAGCGAGCTGAATTCGTGGTTCGAGCTTATATGCAGTATGTTCCTTTAAACTCTTGAGAAATCGAAGTAATTCTTTAATGGTTACCGGTTACTGTGTTTGCTTACTAGTTAGTTTGATAATATTACCAGAGGTGGGAGATTCTCTGATGGATGGGGCTCGTGTGAGCGGAGGGAGAAGAGATTTATAAAACCAAACCATGATATCCCTAGTACAGCAGAGACGAGAGCTAAGAACAAAGCATGCCAGGTAGGTGTTTTTCTTCACAAATCTCACATTTGCAGTTTTGATTCTTAGATTTTAAGCTATGTAAGTGTCGCCCCAAAGTTGGAACAGTTGTTTGTTTGCCTGGAAATACTAGTTTTTTTCAAGATCATGCAAACTTCAAGTAATTAGGTAGTCTAAGTTTAACAATTTCAGGGTAATGATATCTGTTGATTGTTAATTGCAAACTTTTATATATTTTCATTTGTTATTATTCCGAATTAAAGAAGGGAAACAGTGGGGGGTTTTACATTTTAACGAATTGAAGAAGGGAAACAGTGGGGATTTTACATTTTAACCATAAGATAGTTTATTGCTCCAACAATCAATGATCAGGAAATATGGTGTCAATAAGGTTTCTAAGTAGGAGTAGAGTCAAGTTGTTCTGAAAGTTCAAGGTCAATTTAGAACTTGTTGTTTGGAGTTCGGTTGGAGCTCAACCAAATACAGTTTATCTAACCTTAAGCTTGCCTCCAAATAGAGTCAAACTATTGGAGGTTGCCTCCGTTAAACTTATTTACAAGGATTCATGTATGTAAACTCGAGTTTGAGTTTAAACTTGTTCCATATAATTTTTTAAGGTAAAATAATAATTTAATATAGAAACACGTTAGCTTCACGAGTTATTCAGATTAGGTATTAATATACTCAAATTTAGCTCATTCAATAACTAGAGTTGTTCTCAAACTCAGCTCAAGAATTACAACTTATTTTGAGATTTTTTTCCAGAGTTGAAGTGAACCTATAACTTATGAGTAGGAATGGCTCAAGGGAGACGAGTGGGAGCTATTTTCATTTTTGAAAATTTTAAATTTTCTTATAATTTAGATATTTTATTTAGATTTTCTTTTGATAATCTGTTTTCGTTAGTCCTTATGAGCATAGTTGACAACTGAATCTGCTGTTGCTATTTTTCAATCTCATGAAACCATAATCCACAAGTTTTGCTTTTCATTTCCTGCTGTCGATCAAAGATTCATTAGCGCAGCTACTCCCTTGTTATGATTGATTTGATCTTTCATTTTTCGCCTACTGTTTTCTACTTAAATTTGGTCGATACATTTTGCAGGATCTGCTAGGAATTGGGGAGTATCGTCCTGGTGCAAGCCAATGTCAGCGACAGATATAGCCATATTCAATGATCCCGTCATTCCATGGTCCAATTAAATTCTGGCAATCACAATTATCACATTTAGGGTTAAATGCTTACTATTTGAGGGTCAAGAACCACTGGCTGACCTATTGATAACTGTATAATTGCTGAAACGTCCATCAAAGTTTGTTGTTTAAAAGATAAGAACAGATTCTTGTTGATAACATAAATCTTAGGCAATTACTATTCAGTTACTTTGTATTTCCATAGAGATCTCATGTTATTTACAAATTTAGTTACGCATTGGAGAATCTGTGTCTGTCACGGTTGTTGGTTTGAAAGGGTTCCTTGGGTCTCACCCTCCCTCACCACGAAGGCCTTTTTCAGGACCCAATAAATATGCCTTTTTATCTAACTATACCAGAAAGATATTAAGTAAATAATGTCTAGGGTAAACTACAAAAATAATCATTGATGTTTGAATAAGTTTTTCTTCTCTCCACTAATGCTTCAAAAGTAATGATTTAATCACTGTTATTATCAATTTATAACAATTCGGTCACTCATTCTTAACAATTTTTACTGGGGAATACCGTGCCAATGTGGTGTTTGGTCAAGTAAAACAGTCATGTTCTGATCGTTCGACTTCTCTTTATTTTTAATTGGCATTTGTCGTGATTTCTTATAGAAAATCATTTAGGGGTTGTCTAGTTCACCAAATTGCTCGAAAAATCCATGCACTTGAGTTTGACCAATCCTGAGAGGGTTATCGGATGAGTCGAAAACCATTGCCGATGACTGATTCGAGCTTAATGTATCCATCGTTGATCCTATATCCACCATGGGTATGCAAGTGAGTTGGGATCGATCTCACTCAATGGTTTTTTTTTTAGGAATTGCGACTAAGTGTAGGCTGTTGTTGATTTTCATTTCATCCTTTGACATTGTTAATGTTTGAATTAGTCTTTGTAGGGGACTGAGAGCGAAGTGAAGTAGTGGTCCTTGCATTACACACGTAGTTGTAGCTTCTTTACCCGGGCCTTTCTTTTCTCTGGTCAAATATTCAATCTCTTTTCTCCCTCGGATATACATTCGAATAGACTATTATAAATGTAAACATTTGTCCTCATTTAAATGAAGATGCATGACGACGAGAACGAAAAACAAATTCTTTATAAAAATATTGACATGAAAAAACAAGTGATCTGAACTGAATGATGAACCACATTGGGTGGACACCATAAGTTTTCAGGATTAGAGAAGGAAAATGTCAATCATATGGAAAACTACATCTGTTCCGGCAGAATTTAACCAATGACTCTTCACCAAAATGTGGTAAAACATTAACAAAACAATAAAAGCACAGTAAAAAGAAAGCATTATAAATGCAACAGAACATTATTATATAATCTACACACTTCCAAAGGCATGGGAAAAAGAAAAATAATAGTTATCACTTACTAAATACATGACCATCATGCAATGAGCATGACAGGTATGGGTTGCGTTGCAAACTAATAATGAGCATGGCTCGACATTCCCTTCTACACCATTCGGGGGATGCAGGAGCATTAAATTAAATTTAATTATTTCAACCTTCTCTTTTCACGTTCTTTTATTTAAGCCTAATGTGTTGTATTTTTATATTTACTATTTGTGTTACGTGATTATCATAACATTCTTAGTAAGAACTTGAATAGCAAACCGACCTTAGCTCAGTTGGTAAAGCTGACTGTAGTGAGAAACTCAAAAGATACAGATGCAGTACATGGTTATTCGTTCCATAATAAAATAATAACATAGAATAAATAAGAAAATCATTAAACCTCATTAATCAATAAAAAAAATGATGTTTAAATCGAGAAAAATATATTGTTACCCTTTGCAGACAATGCTCTTTAATTTGAAAAGTTAAAGAGCTCAATATCAAAATATTAATAGCAATGAACATCGGAAAATTACATCACTGTTTCATGAAAATGTTGATACAAATAAGAGATCCTAAAACAAAAACCCCAACTCCACGAAGAACCACAAACCCTAAATCTAAAACCTTTGCTCGAAAGAAACCCAATGATCATCACGCCATTCAACATGATGCCTCAACCGAGAAGCATCATAAGCAAGCTCATCCCCAGTAGTTTCAAAATAAAACCCAGTACTTCAATCCTTGTCTCCCGGTAATAGTCCCAGCCCACCAACCATCGTTGTCGAAAGCATCCACCCTTTCAAGATAATTAAAAACCCGAGAGGCTCGATTTACGATTAAAGGTGGTGGCATCGGTCGGACCTCGTCGTCTCGAACCACCTCGATCAACGGTTGAGTTTGATCTTCTTCTTCAACCAAATTCTTGTACCGAACTTCGTAACGAGTGTTGTTGTTGAATGAAGACATCACCTTAGCTTCATAGTATGAACCCAAGAACCCTTCTTCTTTGCTGCATACTTCAACTTTGTCTCCTTTAGAATACACCGCCATTGTTGAACTAACACCAAACAGAAATTATTTGAGATAAGAGTTTTTTTTTTGCGGGAGAAAGGTGCAAATAAGAAAATTTGTGGTATTTGTTTTTATAGATGATGAAGGCGGTTTATGTTTTTTCTAATCGTAAATAATTCCATTCATCCTTTATTTGACAAGAAAGTTATATATTTGAAATACGTGCGTATCAAGTTGTCATAAATTAAACTTTAAAATAGATTTTGTTCAATGAGAATAATAATTCAAATTAAAGTAAAAGTTTAATAATTTTTTTAAGATTGATGATGGACCGATGACATTAACTCACTGATATAATCAATTTTTTTATCATGAACATGTGTAATTTTATTAAAAGAAAATTTGTTCTTGGAAAGTGCCCGTTTTGTCAAATCTATTTTTTTTTTGATATTATTGCTATGTATTTAAGTTTTGGGTTTGAATGTTAAGAATATTAAAATTGTACATATTTATTATCAAATGATTAAGAATTATCTTTAATCAGAAACTGATTTGTACATACCTAAATTAATAAAAAAATTAAAAAAGATATTCAGTTTTTACTTCAGGGTTTATTTGTTTGGGATAAGGAATACCTTTTTCTTGAAAAGAACTTTATACCTTACAAATTATATTAATTTAAACGTAGAAAAAGAATCAAATTTTATCATGTATTAAATGAGAATGATAATCCAAATTATTGTAAAATTTTAAAATCAATTATTATTATTATTAGATTGATTTTTTTGAAAGTATCATAAAAATATATTGTATAAAGATGTATGTTAATTCAATGTTTTTGGCGTTGTTATAGAAAATGAATGGGTTTCAACCTGATTCTATATCTTAGGAATCTTAGCAATTTGAAAGAAAAAATAACTAAAGCGATATTAACATAAAATAAGATATATAAAGGAGACAATATTTAACATAGTTCGGATATGTCTATTTCCACTAGCGAGATGAACAACAATCCACTATAAACATAGAGAACACAAGGAGTACAAATACATGATATCACATGTATCCAAAAACTCTATATAGAAATCAAAACTTGATATATCCTAAAACAATCTTCCAACATCCTTACAAAATTATCTCAGTAACATAAGTCTCAAAAGTTACAGAGTTAATTATTATTATTATTATTTTTATTAGATCGATGTTTTTTTTTGAAAGAATCGTAAAAATATATTGTATAAAGATGTATGTTAATTCAATGTTTTTTGGTGTTGTTATAGAAAATGAATGGGTTTCAACAAGATTCTATATCTTAGGAATCTTAGCAATTTGAAAGAAAAAAATAATTAAAGTGGTATTAACCTAAAATAAGACATATAAAGGAGACAATATTTAACATGGTTCGGACTTGTTTATTTCCACTAGCAAATGAACAACAATCCACTATAAACATAGAGAACACAAAGTGTTCAAATACATGATATCACATGTATCCAAAAACTCTGTATAGATATCAAAACTTGATATCTCCCAAGACACTTTCCCAACATCCCTACAAAATTATCTCAGTAACATAAGCCCCAAAAGTTACAGAGATCCCAAAAGGATTACATCTCTATAAAATTATTCTCTCTCACATTGCCCTAAAGGCTAAAACTTAATCTCTATTAATACAACCAAATACTTGATCACCAACAATTCTTATTCCATAAAAATTCTTGCCTAAACAAATATTTACTTTATTAAATAAAATAAATTACCAAGTAATATTCAACCATTAGAACTACAATAAAATCTATCTTAATTATCAATTATAATTAGGTCAAAGTATAACAAATCTTCCCCTTGACCTAACTTTCATTAAAAATTAGTCTTCAAGTCTTTAACAACTTCAATCATTATGTAAGCCAAATATCCATTGAAGCATTATTATCAAGTCTTCAACAAGTTCAATTCTTACGCAATATCCATTGAAGTATCACATGATAAATTGCAGTAAATTCCTCTTGCATATCACTAAAATCGCTAACAAAATCCGCATCAATAAATTCCTTTAAAACTCCACAACCCGACCATAGCAAAATACCACTTGTTTAGAATTTGAGAGCAGAAAAATAACCAAAACGATATCAACATAAAATAAGACATGTAAAGGCTTTTGAAATTGCGGACAGAAGCTTCACCAATTATTTCAGTCGATCCTGTGCAAACAAGGGACATATAGGACCTGATCCGATTCAAAGAACAGAAAGTAACTTGGCACAAATTAATTTGGTTCCCATTACACATTCCAAAGTTAAGTTTGATTGTCTGGATGATAATACTCAACCGGTTGCCAACTAGAGACCAACTCAATACAATGGGAATTTACACTGATCTCCACTGTGTAAACTGCGACACTAATATGGAGTCAAGGGACCACCTCTTCAGCAATGCCCACTGGCAGCAGCTCTCTGGAATGCTATTCTGAAGCTTAATGGGATGAATTCATCTTCCATGACATGGGTTGAAATGGTCTCAAAGGCTTCTTCTACATGGAAAGGAAGGTCACTCCTTACCACCATTTTGAAAATTTCTTGGACTGCATTTCTTTACTTCATCTGGCAGGAAAGAAATCAAAGAATCTTTTTGGGACGTCATAGAACGGTGAAATGCTTGCTCAAGGAAGTTAAAGACGTTGTTGGGATCCATCTTAGGGGAACTAATATTAATAGAGTCGATAGTACTAATCTTAAGCTTTGTGATGTTTGGGGTATAGTCTAACCAATCTTTTTTGTATAGGTTGATTTCTTTTGATTTTTTGACTGTTGATTGGTTGCACTTTAACTTTACTTTGGGTAATAAAATTATGACTTATCCAAAAAAAAAAGATGTAACATGATTCGATTTTGCCTACCTCTATAGGCGATATAAACAACGATCTACTGTAAACGTAGAGAACTCGAAGAGTACGAATACATGATATAACATGTATCCCAAAACCTGATATATCCCAAAATACTCTTCCAACATCTATACAAATTATCTCTGCAACATAAGCCCCAAAAGTTATAGAGATCCCAAAAGGATTACATCTCTAAAAAAATCTCTCTCATGTTACTATAAAGGCTAAAACATAATATCTATTTATATAGTCAAATACTTAGTCACCAAGAATTCGTATTCCATAAGTATAAACATTAGAATGATAATAAAATCTAACTTAATTACTAATTATAATTTAGGTCAAAGTATAAACATTATATGAGCTTTTTTTTAATTTCAGGACGAGACATGTTATACAATAGATAGGTTTGGGGTGGGGCAGGTGTAATGCGAAAAATCACCAACCTAAACTGATATAAATTATTAGTTTACCCTTTTATACATGGATGGACCGGGGAGTAGATGGGCAGTCGTCCCCCTACAAATTCGAAATTACAGTATATTTTAGCTTTTTTTCTCTGTATTTTTTTTTTAAATTTGTTTTCGCCCCCTGGAATTTTATAAGTTTAATTTCACCTCCCATATGTTCAAGTTCGTCCCCTAACATAAAATTTTGCGTTTGTCCCTACTTTTATATATATATAATAATTTTAAGGTTTTAGAGATCTTTTTATTTTTATAATTTTAAAATATATTCTTTAATTTTTAAAAATATAATAAAATATATTATTTTAACCATTTGAAATTTAATAAATTATTATGAATATATTATTTTAACTATTTAAAAATATTAATATATTTTAAATCGAATCGGGTCGGAATCAAAGTCGTGGTTTCAATTTAGAAATTGGGACAAGAGAAAAGCTACCATCATGTCGAAACAGTCTTTTCTCGGAGGGAGAGAAATTGAGGTCCCGTTTCGAAAATATTTCTTTGGTACGACCGGTTAGTGATAAAACTTGGTTCGATGAGTTACAACCAATCTTTGATTAGGGTGTGATTGGGCACCCAAAAATATATTTGTCATTTTAATAAAATATTAATTTTAATTAAAATGACAAACATGGGGTATGCGTTACCAAAATTTGAGTTCGGGAGTCGGTTACGTGTGGGGAAGGATTAGCACCCCAAAACGCCCTAAATCGGTACCTAGTTAATTAATTAATTATCTTTGCAGTAAAATTTACAAGTTCAAGTCTAATTTTAATTTAAGATCCCCTGAGTAATATTCTTTGAATTTTCGGATGAAACATGATAATATTTAATTATTTCCTATCGAGAAGAATCGATCTCTCATACCTTGAAGCAATCGATTCTTACTCCAATCGAAATAAAGAAATATTAGAATTCCATTCTAAAGTTCATTATTAATTCAAAATAATAACACCCAAAATAATTTTAAGAGTGAAAACGATAATATCTAATTATTTCCAATCGAGAATAAATGATCTTTTGTGCATTAAAACAATCATTTATTTCCCCAGTTGAAATAAAGGGATATCACTATTTCGCCTTAAAATTACAAAGCGATTCGAATGAAAACGATAATATCTAATGATTTCCAATCGTGAATAAATGACCTCTCGTACCTTAAAGCATTCATTTATTACTCGGACCGAAACGAAAGGATATTACTATCCTTAATGTCGATTCGAATGTTATTGATTTGAAAATCTACTGGAAAACGCATGCAAAAATAAAACAAATAAAAAGCATACATCAAACAAACACAATTAATTAATTATTTTACCGATATTTAATGAGAATAAGAATGTTCAATTATTTAAATATCTCGAGACAAGACCTTAGATTCGTTTTAACAATTTTTTTCGATGAATTTAATTAAAAGAACATGGTCTTTTTCTCAATTCCCGAATTTTAAAAATGAAATTGATTCAACTCGTGTCACTAAATGGGATAGACTTTCATTTTAAAATTATCGAAAGTAACTTTCTAATATGTTAAGATAGTCACTTTACGACAATATTAAAATGATCGAATATTACCCTTAGTCAATTTATTTCGATTCGAGTCAAGCAATGCTTATGAGGATATCATGCGAGATTAATTAGGACTAAAATGAATTAAAATACAAACAACATGCAAAAATTAAAAATAAACATAAAACAGAACTAAA